TTAGTAACAAACCTAAAGAAGATTACGACAGAGAATTTATTCATTTGATCAAATTAATAAATTTGTATCGTGAAATTAGAATGTTTGTTGGCTTAAGCCATTGTTGCAATCAATTTGAATGAAAAACTCTGGTTGCTCTACCTTTTTATTTTTTTCAATAGGAACATTGTTTGACCATTTTATTGCTATGAAGAATAATTGAGAAAGGTTGTTTGCAGGAAAAAATGTAATTCAATCAGAGATTTCTCTTTAGATTCTTTAAATTTATAGTTTCTGAAAGGATTTTTCCAATAAATTCGAAATTTTCTATCCTTATGACTTGATAAATACCTTTGAAAAAGTATACACGTGGATGTTAGTTGAAAGTGAATTGAATGAATCGTTTATTACTTTTCTTCCTTATCTATCTTTTGTTTTATTTAATATTTAATTCAAACATTGAGGATAACAGAACAATGAAAGACAAATTCTCATACAAGGAAATTCCTTTGGAATAGAGCATGCATAAGAATATAGGTCTTACTTGTGACTATAGAGAATATTCATATCCATACCAATACTTCATGGTACTCAAACCGAGCTATGCAGAATTCTTACCATCCGGAGATTTATCATAGCTTGGATGTTTTTCAAGCCTTTGATAAAATCATGCAGTCGAGGAAAAGGTTGATTCTTAAATGTTTTAGAGTGCGATTAAAAGTGCTCTCACTCTTGTATGTAAACTTTTAATGCATTCAGAGCAGTTCCTTTTTCTTAGTATTTTTGATCGTTCTACCATATTGTAGGGTTTGTTTGAAGAACGTCTTAAAATGTCTTACTTATTGTTCCTTGAGTTAGAATATAAAAGTAGTGGTCGATATTTCTACTCTGTGTAGTGCGACATATTCCGTTTACTTAAAAAAAAAGACTGTCAGAGGAAAAGTGTATGTATGTTTTTTTACTTTTTCTGTCCTAAACAAATCAGATTTCAAATAGCTTCTCATTTCGTATTTGTTCAGGTCGAAAATTGAGCTGATCGCATATTTTGCTATGTAGCCTGTGACCAGTGGCGGACCACCAGCGTGGCAAAGTATGGCAATTGCCACACCTAAAATATTTGAAATAATCGACAGCCGGACAAAAACTAATCAACAAAACGATTTTTTTAGTAATTGCCACACTAAAAATTTTGATGCTGGCCCGCCGATGCCTGTGACTAATAAGATTTTTAGATTCAAATGTCTTTTTGGTATAGATGTAGGGTTTAGTTAGATTGCGATGGATAAAGTGAATATCAGTGAGAAATATAAGAGGAATACAAACTGACATTGGTCTTCTCTGTGTTCTCGTGCACACTTACATTCATGCCTAACACTACAGGATAAAAATGGTGGTCTAAAAGTGAACATGTTTTTTGTCGACAAATTCTCCAGAACTTTTCTAAATTTTTTTTCAGAAAAGGATGAGCGTTACCTTGTGATTTAACATATTTGGTACGATGTGAACCATGCTATATTTTAACGAGTAACTATATAGAAAAGCACTTTCTTTTGCTTAAACATAATGTGTCATCTATTCCGCCTCCAGTACTTTATTACATAGCATGTTATTAAAATAATCAAGACAAAAAACAATTATCACAGTCTGAACAGAAGGTTTTTACTTTCTTTGCTGCCACATAGATCGCTTCTCTTGACTGTTGTGTCTTTCCCATTGCATAGTAGCTAGTACAGAGTCTGCCAACATTCCGCATAGGTTCTTCCTTTTCTTTCAGCTTGCGTTCAGTTAATTCGCGCTTGAAATGGATTGTTGATTCAGTTTCTCAAATGGCATGCCATGCAGAAAAGATCTTACAGAACTCTCGCCAAACTATTGAATGGTTACTTAACTTCTTGTGATGTTACAGACAAGATGAAAAGACTGATGAATGAATCTTAAGAACTACTCTCTAGTAAAAATGAATGTGTTAAGACAAATTGTTATTAAATTATAGCATTAGAGAAACCTATTCGAAAGATAACATCTAGCTTATTATATTCTTTGAAATTTAGACTTGGACAATTACGTTAAAATCTATATTTCAGGTCGATACATCCTTTTACAAATAGTAGATTATATTAGAAAGTATTCAATAAAAAACTTCAAATATTTCATTAGACTGTTTTCTTTTTAAAGGACATCATGAATAGTTCAGTTATATTCAAAAAAGATCAGGATTATGATGAATATCATAGACATGCTTTCTGTTGAAAGGGTTGACATGCTTTACTCGTCCTTCTGGATAAAGCCAATTTTCCAAATCATTCAATCTTCCCACGTATTCAATAGCATAAGCAGCTGCTTTAACAATTTTTCCATACGCAAATGGATTTACATTAGTTATCCGATCACATTGTTGATGATAACATGAATCATATGGAACATTAGCTAATCCAGCATTTCCTGTTCCTAATAATTCTGCATATCGATCTCGCTCAGTTGATGACTTGAATCCACCAGCGCCTGTATTTACCCCGCCAGAAGCTATGCCACCGGTCAAAAATGGTACAAAATCACTGCCACCTCCAATGCCCGATCTGGTCCATGGAAGTTTCTGTTCATCAAACCATTGCTGAAATAAATTCGTAATTCGATCAGTACCCGGTAGAGTCTTGTTGGATGTTCCCGGTGGAATCGATATACTGTCAAGAATACCAAAATTACTATTAGGAGAAGCTATCATATCATAATTGAAATATACTAGATAATCTTGTAGACGTCCGCTTTCGATAGTAGCACTAGACAATGATGCTTGTTCAACATGATAAATAGAACCGAGAAGACCAACTTCTTCTGCACCCCACCAACAAAACCGAATACGATATAAAAGTTGAGCATAGTTTAAAGAACTCGTCGAAAGTAAACGAGCTAAATTAAGAGCTAAAACCAAGATACCAACTGAACCACTACCTAAATACCAATACAAAAAAAATGAACAAATTACCCTTTATAACATATTTCTTACCGTCGTCATTAATTCCACTTCCATCTAACACTCCATCACTATGTGCTCCGATAACAATTGTTGCAGTTTTATTTCCTGTTGGTGTATCCGCACAAATATTTCCAATTTCTGCATCACGTACATCAATTATCATTTTTATGCTAGCATTCGTACTTGAATTGATCGCAGCATTAACAAATTTCATTCCTAAGTTATACGATAGAAAATAACCTGGAATTGTTGCATTCAGATGACTTCTCACATATCGAACTGCTTGAAAACGATCTGATGCAGTTCCATCATTATACATGAGTAATCCTTTCGCACGATACTTTTCTGCTAGTTGAGTCTTTTCTGGAAATGTGCAAACACCACGTTTGACTAAAGCAATAGAGTCTGTCACTGATACATTCATCCAATCCGAATTTTGACAACCAAGATTTGGAATTGAGACTAATCGAACAAAGGAATCGAAATTGGCTGCAGCTGTAAATATAATATGAGCAAAATCTGTTAAATGAATATGATCTTCAATAAAACCATTCATTTGAGATTGTAATTGTGGTATTCCTTGAACTGCACAATTTTTCAGTGTAAAATACTCATGTCGAACAATTAAATTTGTATTTTTTTCTAATTGTTCAGTTATGTAGTCGAGTGTACCATCAAATCCTCGAGTTCCAATTGCTCGTGTTCCATTACTCTGATCGGCAATTACTTGAAGTTGTTCTAGATGATGCATTAGATCATCAATTTTTATTTGATCAGCAAATGAAAGTGGTCCATTATTATCAGGAGATTTTTCTGTATCCCTTGAATCTATACGATTGATCAAAATACCTAATGCGACTGCACTAAGAACAATTGTTGTAATTGAAAATAAAACAAGTAATCCCAGAAAGATATAAGACATTTTTGTTGTAGCCGATCTACCAGTGTCAGCAGATGGCACTCCATGCATGCTCGATCTTTTGTGTATCTTAAAATTTCATTAGAAAATTATAAGTCGAGCGAAGGATTATTTCATTACAGAAAAAATGCAAAATTTATTCTATTACTTCATAAAAATAGTGGAATAGTTCCTCATAGAAATAATGAAAACATTACTTGTATAACGATTAGAATTCTTATGAAGGACACAAAAGCAAGAGAAAGAATATTTTATTATTTTACTTCTGCGACGATCGTTTTTTTTTGCATTTGCAATCTAACAATTCTTATCTTTTTATTATTCAGGTAAAAGTTGACATGATTTATTTGCCAGTGGACGAATTTTTAAAGCAATAATCAACAGAACATTATATTAAGATATTAACATGTGTGAAAATAAATGAGCGTTAATCATACGTTCACTTATAACTGTCAGTAAGAATAATTTTGGAGACAAAGAAAGGCTTCGGATTATATTTCTGATCAATGAAGGAACTTGTACAAAAGAAGTTGATGAGAGTTTTGCCACTATTATTCAATGAACTTCTTTCTCCAAAACAGGAGAAAATTAGACATGTCTAATAATATTTAGATCAATTCGAAAGGTACAAGTACGTCAAGAAAAGATTTTAAAAGTATAGTTCTTCTTTTGATGATAGAATATCATTAAAAAGTCATATGATTAGATGCTTTAGTCCAGTTGCAGCACTTGAAATCATAAGTACTTGTGTTTACTCTCATCTTCAAGAATTTATTACTTTGGTTTCAATTGCTTAAAGTTAAGAGTTGATATTTGCACATAAAATATGTTTTGAAAACTGATTCACCTCTATCAGAAATAGGTAGTACTTAAAGTAAAAGAGCTTGGTAGTCTTTTTTGTACAAATTGTGTTGTCTCTAGTAATATTCAATAATTCATCAGTACTTGTACATAAATCGAATGGTTCTTTGTATGGTGTGGGTGTGGGTATGGGTGTGGATGGATGTGACTGTGGGTATGGATTTATTTCCTATTTTAATACCCCATGCCCACACCCAGACTCACAACCATACCCACCCACACCCATCAAATATTCTATTTAAATAGATATTTCATGTTGAAAACTTGTTTTCGTCGTCTCTTATGTATACTGCAATCACAGATAGACTTTGTTATACCGTTTGGTTCATACATCAAAGAAAGTAGAAGTTGTATTAACAGCGCTGATTTGTAGGGAATCTTTTCCTGTAGGAAACTTTTATACTTAGGGTAATTCAAAAGTAGTGGTGCCATTATCTTATTTCTATATAGAAAGCTTAAAGAAATTTTCTTTTATTATGTAATGATAGAGAAAACGATGCTCTATTTTTCTATGGTATTTGATCACTATTGAAGTAACATCGTAATGATAAAATTACGATAAAAATCGTTTTTCTGTAAAATGTAACGATTGTATTAATTTTATTTCAAAAAACAAAAAGCTGAGTGATTTTTAAATAACTTTTCATAGGAACAAGATAGATGGTTGTGGTGTTCACTGTTCGAAAGAGGAGATGAAGATGCATCGAATCACATATTATGAGTTTTTCAAATATGTTGTCGGAAGTTTGTTTAATCAATTTTCTAAGGGTCAACAAAAATGATTCTTTATTTAAAAGTAAACAGCAAAAACACATTTTTTCACAGAAGTTGCTAGAACAAAACACTTACAGCTTCAACTGGGATACCTATGACTCCTGAAAAATTAATTTCAAATATGTCAACCTTATGCAGTTTGGTAGATCTTCCATTGGCGGTTTGAATGCACACCTGACAAGTAAAAATTCGCTGTGTGCACTTCACGTAGTACATTTATTTTCAAAGAAATCGATTGAAAACCTTAAAAAAATCCGACCGAAAAAATCTGAAGCACACAATTCGATGTATTTTCATCTCTTCTTTCAAATAGTGAAAACTGTTGCTCTTTCTCTTGTTCTTATGCAAAGTTATTCGAAAAATACTCATTCGATCTTTTTTTTCAAATAGCATTAGTACAACCGTTACATTTTACAGAAAAACAGTTCTAATAGTAATTTTATTATTACAATATTAGTTGAATAGTAATGAAATAGCATAGAAAAGTAGTGTCGTTTTCTCTATCACTACATAAAAAAAAGAAAGTTTCTTCATACTTGCTATATAGAAATAAGACAGTGGCACCACGACAAGGGGGAAACATCGTACTTTTATACTTTACTTACTTCAATATATTTTCTTGTACTTTAATGTACTTTAAGGTATTTCATAGTACTTCAAAGTACTTCAAAGTGTTTCAAAGTACTTTAATGTGATTTATCTCTTTACTCTCCAAGGGCTAATGGATTAGCCATCTGTAGAACGATTACAGAAAGTAAAGGAAGCATGGCATCGGAAAACGATAGAAACATTTTTTGTAGAGAATTTCATGGGTTATCAATTGGTTAAAAAAATTAATTTGTTTAATCCTCCAAGTTTGAAACATCGGGTCTACAAAATCTATAATTTTGAAAAAATGAAAAAAAATCGGATGTGGGCGCGAGTGTGGCGGTGGTTGTAAATATTCTCTTCACGCACACCCACTATGACAGACTTACAACATTTAACTAGATTGTTTCAAAACAACAACTTCAAACGTTTTTTTTGTATAGGGTGAAAAAAGCTACTAACGCAATTCCTTCGAGATTAAAATGTCAAAACACGATATAGAGTGTGACTTTTTATTTCTTCCACGTCCATATTTCTTTGGAGCTGAACGTTAGGCCTTAAGCATATTCTAATTATTTATTTATTTAAATGTTAATTAACTAATTAATTGACTGAATAGGAACAGATTAAAATTTTTTGTATTATAATTTTTTTCTATTATTATTCCTAATATTCAATAGTCTTATCGACAAGAAAAATTGATATTTTATAAGTATCAGTTTTACATTATTAAATCTTAAATAAATAAAACTTGTTTTTACAAACAAAAAAAATTCCTTTTAAACATTGTTGACAATTAAATACTGTCGACGTCAAAAGTCTCTCGCAACTTTTTTTGTTTTGAGTTGTGTATTTAAACTAAATAACATTACTTTAATTCGATTATACAACTGTATACTAGAGATCGAGTACTATATACATATATAACATATATATCTGTTTAACAAGAAAAAATCTTGGATATGAAATACAATAAGAAAAACAAACTTCAATTCTGAGAATAAATAACAAGAAAAAAAAAGATAAAATTATACATCTGTTACAAATCTTAGTAGGCTTAGTATACAAACTATGCTCAATGAATTATCGAATCAATATCAAAAGATGTATTTCAAAGCGCGCTCCATATTTAAACATATCGCTGCCTGGTAAGTTCTTATTTTGTCGATCGAATTAGTATAGATAGATAGACATTTAACTAAACCAAACTTTCATCTCATAGAGAATGAGATTTTTAATATTTTTTTGCATATAAAAAACTACGTTCTTTTCTAATTCATATGAAAATGAGATCAAGTCGAACTCAGTCACTCTGAATTATACTTGTTACAGATGAAAAGCATGTGGGTGTGGGTGTGGATGAGGATGAGGATTTTCTATTAACCCACCCACACCCACACTTTTAACAAAGATATCTTCACATCTGCAAGTATTGAAAATTCTGCCATATGAAAACGAAGATTATTTTGATGCTGATTAATGAAAAGAAATAATCAACAATGGTATGCCTCATTTGCATACATTTCACTACGAATATGGTCAGCATTGCAAACTTGACTATGAAGAAACGTCTTGATAAAAATTTATGTCATCGTTTTGAGTCGAACGACAATGGTTTGTTGACTTGAACATTAAGGAGATAGGCCGATATCACTCAGTCCATCCATACAGGTATGTTAAAAAATAAGTCTTTTGTATCAATAGATTTACTTTTTTTTTCAAATAAAGGTGGTACAAAATTCTATGAACCCACAGGAAGTATCTCATATATTGATCATTCAAAATCCGATAAGAATTCGACAGAATATGTTATTATTTCCAATCGAGAAAAAAACACTGACAATTCTTCGATCCAGTCCATTCCGTCCGTTCAAGTTACTATCGATATATCTCGTTTTATCGAGACGGAAAGAACTATATATTGATCAGTACAAAAGCAGTATTGATGGAATATAGTTTATTCATTTGAGCATTTATTGCGCTGAAGATTACCTATATCTTCACTCATTAGAAATATCATCATTATCATCGTAGTGATCATTCAGTTGTTTGTCTGAAGAAGATGGAGATATCCTTTTTCAATTACGGGTCAATAATAATATTACGACAATTAATGTCGAGAGAATGATTGAACTAGAGCAAGTGCAATTTTTTATTGATCTATGTCCTCGTATACAATATCTCCAATTAGAGAATGTAATAGACATGGATCCACAAATATTGGTAGGATTTATTTTGATGAAAATCATTACAAAGCATTCCTCATCTCTGCTGATTGAGTATTTCTATTCCCAATGCCAATGATAATATGGTTCACAAACTACAAAAAATGATCTGTTCAAAGAATCTTCTTCTTAACTATACGATCAAACGTATGCGTAATAACATCTCTTTGCAATGGACTTTATCATGATTTATTTATTTATTTTAACATTAACTATTCTATTATAACCGGTAGTCAATAAAAGAATACTTTAATTTATAGATCGATATCTTATTTTATTCACAATAATCTAACGAAATCTCTTCATTTATTCTCATAATATGTTTTTCTGTTTGATCAAATAAAAGAAAAACAGCTGGACGATATTTCCCAAAATCGAGAAATTGTTCCTATTCCAGCAGAAATCTTTCACCCCACACAAAGTCAAGCAGAAATGCTTTTATACGGGAAAACGAAGCAACAAATAGCATAAATAGAAATGTTTCTAGTAGAAATTCATGAAATGTTTCTCTTTTCCCAAACAGAAATGTATAATACACAAGGAGAAATGCAATAACTTTTTTCATAATGTAAGCAGAAATGAATAAGATTATCTTTTATTTTT